TATTAAACGCAAGGAAGCAGCACGAAAAATTAGAGATCAAAACAAAGACGATACAAAGGACAAAGGATGTGATACAATGGCAATACAATCGGATCTCCAAGCCGTTCTGAACAGTGAACACACCAAAAGGAGCTAGTGAACCATTCTTCTACGTCAGAAAGTTGGCTGTATACAACCTTACCATTTACAATCTTAAAGATGCCAGTGTTACCTGTTGTGTCTGACCCTGATAGTGGCAATAAAAAATATAACCACTTACCCTTCAAAAAAGCCATTTGGTTTAAGTACCTGTCAACTCATCCAGATGTTGTATTCGTGAGGACGGATTACTCAGATGATGCATCTTTTGTGAAATACTTTGCAAAACGAATGAAAAACAAACTGAGAAGACTTTTTTCTAATAATTCTCCAATAAAACCTTACAAATCGAAGTTCCCAATTGCTACCAAAAAACTAAAAGACCTTCAAAAGCTTTGTAAGAATATTCAAATACCACGTGTTTACTATGATTTCTACACAAATCTTCTCTCTGATGACAGTGTACGAGATGCCCTTCCAGAGCCAGATGCCTCTGAAGAATCTGAGAGCGAATCATAACAACTAAACCAATGATCTTCTAAATTTTAAAGCAAAATTATAAAATAGTTTGTTTCATTAAATTTTGTTCAATCTTAAAGTTCTCTATTTTGTTCACCCACATCATGAGAAAACCAATCAGTAGGTGATACATAAGTACATTCTCTTTTAACACAAATGCAGATTCGCCATTTTTTATAGCCTAACATTCTAACCATAGTCACTTAGTCACAACAACTTTTAACATTTTTCAGGCATTCTTTAAAGGTTTTCAGATCAGGTGTGTAAAGACAAATAACATTACAAATATTTTCTGTGGCAAAAAGATTCTTTGTCTAATGCCATTTTCTCACTCTTTCTCTCTCTCTCTTTCTCACACACACACACACACAATATTACAAATAGATTTTTACTCGAATTCCAAAGTGTTTTTTAACTCTCCTGAAAAATAGCAAATATGCACATTCTACGGGGCTCATTGAATGATTAGTTGGCCGGGTGGATTTGTATGGCGGAAATATTTGATATATATTTTTTTAATTTGTTTTAATGAAACTTGGAAATAAGGGATGATTGTGTTATTATCTTGAATGGAAAATAAGCCACATTTTAACTAAAGAATAATTGGTATTATTTATTTCGTACGATGAGAGAGTGGTACCTCGCTGTTAGTCGATGTCGGTTCTTTTGTTTATTGCAGATGGGTTCTTGAGGATGTCACACATTTCAATAATGGAGCGTTTCTGATGGTTATTTTGTTTCGCCAGTATTTTGGTATTTGTGAAGTCAATATGATGTTTGGTAAAAATGACGTATTGTGCAAGGGCACAAGAGGGTTTAGAAAGTCTAATGTCGCTTTTATGTGAAGTTATACACCCTAGAAGCGACCGACTGGTCTGGCCAATGTAGCAGGAGTTACATTCAGAACAGGGTGTGCTCCTCGAACGAGCTTAGTGGAGTTTTATACTTGGAGAATATATTGACGTTATATATATATATATATATATATATATATATATATATATATATATATATATATATATCAGTTTGTTATTTCCTGACCGTGAATATTTAAATAGAAACCTTTTTATTTTCTGATTTTGTCGCTCTGTTGTAAATAAAACTATTTAATTATTGCTTAAACGTTTCCGCAAATTTGTCATTTTCAATAAGCACTTTATTAAGTTTATTTTATAAACATTACATTATATAATTAAATCACATGTTTACGCTTTATAAAAGTTTAACATAGATTAAAAATCCATTCTTCCTTAACAAATTGACTGCCACACGCCTTTCTCAAAAAGTTTCATGGAGCGCCACACCAAAAAAGTTGTTTAATTTTTGGAGGCCATGACGGAAATTTTTACGGTGAGACCAGACCATGTCAGTCATATATGACTCACACGATAGCTTTTAAATACCATTCTATCACTCAAAATTACGTTAGGGGATATGGATTTTTATATGCAATTTTGTTATTGTGGCGTCCAGTGATACTTCATTAAACATTGGTGGCGCTTCAAGAAAAAATAATGAAAAATTAAAAGAAAAAAATAGTTTTTACTTTTGTCATACAAAAGTTAAACAAAAACAGGAAAATATAAATTTATTACGTATTAATATTTTTAAAGCAGTCCATGCACATATAAGGTTGATCAGGACAACCACAGCAATAAGTCATTACTTTTTTCACTTTATTTCTGTCTTCCAATCTTCCTAGAGAACCAATCAAATGTCTTTAACAAGGCTCGCAAATACGACGAATTTTTTTGTCTTTGGTCAATGCATGTCCTATTTTTTTATAGGTTCTATGTGTTCTCTTGGTTCTATGTCTAACATTTTCTGAACCAGCTGTTCTCTGAACCTTCGTATTTGCATCTTCTTTTTCTTTGAAACCATTTTCGTTACCAGATAAGCATTGACAACACTAATGCCGAGGAGATATTCCATAGCCAGCTTCCTGAACCACTTTAACCCTTTTCTTAGAGTTGTCGCATAAGAAGACATTTGGTCAGATATGTTTATGCCAGATTTTCCTCGATTGTAAGCTACTACCATACTTGGTTTTATTTTAGTTTCCTTTCTCTTCTTTTTCTTAAGTTATTTACTAGTTGATGGTGTCGATTTGGTTGTGTTCTCTTTATTTTGTGAGGTATCGATCAAGTCAGGAGCATGTTTGGTAGACAGTAATTTTACATCACGAGTGTCTTGCCACTTGAGAATTACTATTCCATTTTCGTCTTACTTACAGATTCACCTTTCTTCAGCTTTTTCATCATAACTTCTTTTGGAAAATGTTTTCTTGGGGTAACTAGTTTTCTTGAGTAATAAATCCAAGGGGAACTAGTGTAGAAGTTATCAACGTACGACCTTGATTTAGAAGGCCCCGCGACAATTTTAGACACACATAATGACCCAAACTTAAATTTGTGTCAAATGTTTTTGCTTTGCCTTCATAAATGCTCGTAGTCCAGGTATATCCATTTGTTGCACAAAGTTTGAATATTTTTATCCCATATCGGTGGGCTTTATTGGGAATATATTGACGAATAATTAATCTACCTCTCCATGGTACCAAAGTTTCATCAATAACAAATTCCTCACCCGGGGTGTACACATTTTGATATTTTGTATTCAATGCATCAACCAATGATTTGATTTTATCAATACAACTTATAGTAGGTGTCTCTGGGTCTGTAAAATGTATAAACTTCAGCAACAATTCATAAGTTTCGAGACATTATTTTAGGTGCCAGGGGAATATTATAAATACTCTTGATAGACCAGTAAGCTTGAATATTTCCTATCTTTACCAGACCCATTCTTAAAGTGAGGCCCAGAAATTTTTTTATTTTAGTACTATTGTAGGAATCCATTTTGTTAATCTAGACCCACGTTGTATTCTAGTGTTCTCGATTAAGAGAACACTAGAGGAAATTAAGGAAATTGTTCTGTACTGGGAGCATTCTGTCGCATGTACTGACTTTGGTAGTTTTACAAACGTGGACAGCAACCAATCTTGGGGTACTCCTGTTGCATATACTTTGTTCAACAGATCTAAAAGCATCTGCAGTGTTTTCTTCGTCAATGCATTTAATTAGCTCGGTGGGTATCTGATCTGGGCCTACTGGTTTTGCGATCTTTGCATTACTAATTGCCTTTTCTAATTAGCAAATTATTATTTCCGGTCCTGTTTGTTCCTGTATTAAAACTATACAATAGCTAAAAAGGTAATGTATGCTGCCGATAGTGTCGAATCTTTGCAACATCATTTGATTAGTTCAAAACTAACTTGAAAACTACTTACTAAATCGCATTGAGACATGATATTTACGTAAAAAGTAACAAAGAATAAAAAAACATGCTAAAATGATTATTACGACAGTGGCGTAGATTCTGAGGGGTAAAAGGAAGTATCTATCCCTACAGCACTCCTCTGGTAACAATGGAAAATTATCTTTTAACAGTACTTAAAGTATACGAACATGTGTAAACTGTTTGTCAAGTTTGAATAAAAAATATTGGAAGGTGTTAAAAACAATGGGCTAAACCATTTTAGAATATTTGTAATAAAATACTAGACACTAAAAGTGGATAATATAAAGAAGTTGGAATCATTTGAAATGTGGTGCTATAGAAGGATTTTGAAAATACGATGGACCCAACGAGTTACAAATGCAAAAGTGTTAAGAAGTCTACAAAAGTATTGCGAGGTCATAAAAAACATCAAAATAAGAAAGCTGGAATATTTAAGGGTAAAAGATCCACAGGAAGACGAAGAATTTCCTGGCTAAGGAACCTAAGAGGGTGGTATAGTTGTAGCTCAGTAGTGCGCAGCTCCGATAGGAGAAGGAACTACAAGAAGAAGTAAATTTAAAACTTAAATTGCTCTTCTTGGGAAGTACTAGGAAAAGTCCCATGATTCTTATGTTTTCCCTCTCGTTCTATATTCATGTATTTACATAACAAATGATATTTTTAATAAAACAAAATTGACACATTAATTTATTTTATTTTGAATAAACAGATACGAAAGTTTGAGGTACAATACAATCATTACTATTTTCCGGCTTGTTAATGAAATAACAGTAATTATCACATAAGTTCTAAGGCATTGTAGTTATATAATTATAGAAAAGAGTTGATCTCTATATTGGGATGAACATTCGTTTTTCTTGTTAATTCTTCAGCTACCCAGCTTTTATTTATAAACTGCTTTAAGAAACAGTGTCTACATTTCTTAGCTACTAGTTCGAATAGGAAGACCCATTTGGTGGAGATTGCAACCTTTGACTGCACAAATGTGACAAACTTTGAAACAGAAAATGTTTATTCGAGATTTAGCATTCCCTATACACTTATCTAGAAAAGAGAGAAGGACTAATTTTTGAAAAGGAAACTAAATCTATTGTAGTTTTACTTAGTATAAATTTATTAAATAGTGTCAAATGTATATCAGTATAAAATGATTCTGATACATTTAAAATACACTGCTGGATAAAAAACTCGGATGTTTAATGTTTTGGTGAATATCTGCAAATGTCATTTATGTGAAACTATATAATATAATAAATATAGAAGGTAAGCTTTGTGGCATATTCTGAATGAGGATGGCTATTACATATTAATAGAACAGTTCCCATTCCTCTCAAAGAATATCAAAGAAACTAATACCTACACTCTAAAATACAGTCTCTGGTTGAGAATAATGTTGAAACAATTAAATGGCAGTCTAGTTTGTTTAGTCTAAATATAAATAAATAAGTAATAAATAAACCAGTATACACATATTATTAGGTTAAGACAATTTTGTACCATATGATAGAAGTGTATTTCTATCAATATATTTAGTGTTACACATGTGGTACCCGGTTTTTTGTCAAACAGTGTCCAATTGGTCCATCATACTTGATAATTTTTACAATTGAAAATGTGTCTATACTATATCAGATCTAATTATAAAATAAATAGGAGTATATTTTTAGTGATGTTTAGTGATCAACCCTTCAAATACAGTCTCTGATTGAGACAACATTGAAACCATTGAAAAGGCTGAAAACAGCCTAGTTTTGGCTTGATATACTAAATATAAATACAGCAGCAATTGAATAAATTAAAGCATACTTCGAACATATTGTAATTGAATTACTATTGTACTTCCCCAACTTTCTAATAAAATTTGACTAAACATTTAAATTCTATGTATCAACATTTATGAACATCATTTATGGACATGCAAAGAAATAAGATCAAAGTAAAAAATGTCCTTTAGACCAAAACACAAAAAGGTCGAAGGAAACATGAATGCAGCCAAACCTTCGAAAGTTATTGGATTTATTCATCAGAATTGTTTGCAACTGATTGTGGAACTTTTCCTAAAACAAAACACAATAATTAAAATAATATTAATGACAATTAGCATAATTCATTTATTTGCTTTCAGATTTTTACTGACTTTTCCCAAACTATCCCAATGTCAAAAACAAATTATTTTTAGCTTTGAAAATATTTTGCCATTCCAAATCATTCTCATATTCCTGCATTTTGTACATCTTCAACTTCTTGCACTTTGATCTTGACCTTCCCCTTTTCTTTATTCCTCCTGGATTTCATTGTATCATTGCACATGTCATTAGTTAAAAGGGGTTCAAAGGAGTAGTGAGGCGCAATACAAGGTGTTGCTTCCAGATAACACTTCTAGCCTCTCCTCAATTCCTATCTTCACCTCCAAGATGTGTGATCTTGATCACACGGGTGAACCCCGGTAAACCTGAGCAACCCTGTTGGAGATTGGGTAACCAACCCCAATGGAAGGTAGGGTCAGGGCGGACGAAGCAGGGAGAAAGCATAGCTTGTTCAGAAGCTATAGCCAGCAGCCTTAGCACTGGACTCGGGTGCAATAGGCCTATAACCTGTTCACCTTAAACTCAGCTATCACGAATGCTACGAACAATGAACTAACCGGACGGACTAACGGACAACGACCAAAGTTACGGAATAAGGACTTAATGATGGATTTGCGACTGGGAACCTGGAATGTCCAAACCATGCTGCAGGCAGGCAAAATGCAAAGTATTGCACAGGAACTATTGAAGTACGAAGTATACATAGCAGCCCTCCAAGAAATCAGATTTAAAGGGCATGATTGCATAAATAAAAAAGAATACAGTATGTACTACTGTGGAGCAGAAAGACAAGGAGACTTTGGAGTGGGTTTTATTCTAAACCATAAATGCCGCAGATCAGTATTGGGTTTCACTCCAGTTAATGAAAGAATATGCAAAATACGTCTAAGGGGAAAATTTCATAATATTACAATTATTAATATCCATGCCCATCTACCAGTAGAATGTGAAAACTCACAGATGAGAGCCAATATATGCAGAATCCTTTGGTAAGCATAGTTTACATGATAATACCAGCAACAAAGGTATAAGAGTGGCACAGTTGGCAATGGTAAACAAACTAAGAGTTGTGAGTACGTGTTTCCCTCATAAAAATATTCATAAAGGAACCTGGATGATACCTGGTACTAATAAATTTAATCAAATTTATGACATATTAATATCTAAGCGGTAGGCAACCTCAAATGGATGTTAGAACTTATAGAGGCGCAAATTGCGATCGGACAATTTCTTGGTTCTATCGAAGATAAAACAAAGAATATCAATGGTAAGAAAAGAGAAAGGCGCCAAACAAAGGCACATATATGTTTAAAAATCCTAAAAAGAAGAATGAGTATCAGCAGAAAATAAACATTGAAGAAGAATGGAAGTCATCCAAACGACAATTACAAATATGGCAAAAGAAATATTAGGTGAACCCTCAAGCAAAAGAAACGAGGAATGGTTTGATCAAGATTGCCAACAAGTAATAAATAGCAAAAATATGCCCTTATATGAATAGAAGGGCATATGAAGAACCCAGAAAAGATGCAAAGAAAATATGTAGAAAGAAAAAAGAAGAAATGTTGAATAGAAAAATACAATATATTACAGATTATAATAAAAGAAGAGACTAAAAAATTTTACTAGAAAACCAAGCAATACACCCAAGGATACATGACAAGATCAACAGTTTGCAAGGACAAAAATGGGGCAATTATCAGCGCCTGGAATCGTTTTCGGAGGAGGTGAATACCAATGTGGCTTCAGACGAAAGAGGTCAACTATAGACCAAATACATATGTTAAGAGGTATACATAAAAATGTGTTATATATAACATACCTATTTACAACTTGTATATCGATTTCAAACAGGCGTTTGATGGAGTAGATCGACAAAAGATGTTAAAGCAACGTTAGGGATACCCAATAAGTTGGTTAAACTTATATGAAGACTCTCGAGGGTTCCAAAGCTATGGTGAGAATCGATGGAGATATGACGCAGGCCTTTGATATTGAAAATAGAGTTAGACAAAGTGATGCCTTATCAACAACACTTTTTAATCTAACATTAGAAGCTGTTGTTAGAAAACTGGATATAAACGGCTGTATTAATACAAGATCAATGCAAATATGCGGATGATGTTGCCATAATAAGCTGCAACAAAAGGGTATTAAGCAAAAAAGTTATAGAACTGAAACGAGAAGCTGCTATGTTTGGTCTATATATAAATGAAAGAAAAATAAAATATATTGAGTGCACAAAATAGAATCAACATGAGAATCTGAAGGTAGACAACCATACCTACAAATACGGCTCCACTTTTCCCTACCTAGGCTCAATAATAAATAACAACAACAACATCAGTGAAGGAATACAAGCACGGATTCTTAGCGATAATAAAAGCTTTTATGCATACAAAGACTTAATGAAAAGTAAGTTACTGCATCCTGAGTCTAAGCTTAGAATTTACAAAACAGTAATTAGACCAGTGGTCACATATGGATGTGAAACGTAGACCCTCTCAACCACTGATGAAAATTAACTGAGAATGTTTGAGCGCAAAATACCAAGGAAGATATTTGGAGCAACCCAATGCAGCGATGGATCATGGAGAATTAAAATTAATCATGAGCTGGATGAACTAATGCAGAGCGCAGATATTTTTAGATTTGTAAAGTCACAAAGACTAAACTGGCTTGGTCACCTAGAAAGAATGCCAGATCGAGCTGTAAAAGTGGTCCAGAGATGGTAGCCCCAAGGAAACAGAGCAAGAGGAAGGCCCCGAAAAAGATGGATAGACGAAGTAGAGAGGAATCTTAAAACCATGAACATCAGGCAGTGGCGAAGGAAAGTATCTGAGAGGGCAGAAGAACATTGTTAAGCAGGCCAAGACTCACAAAGGGTTGTAGAAGAGGAAGATGTCACTAGTTCATCTCCTGCTCGCCAGATGTGACCTAGCCATCTAATGTCGTCTAATTATTGTGTTATATAATTATGTTCATCTTAGTTTTCTTAGTCAGTATTTTGCTTTTTTTCTCTCCAATGGCACTACAGCCCAAATCAAGCCTTGGTGTCCTCTAAACTAAGCCTTCAACCTTGCCAGTCCCGCGCCGATCTTCTAAAGGTTCTCACGACTAGCAAATTTTGTGCATCCACTAACACTTCACCCTTCCACCTTTTCTGTGGTCTTCCTTTTGGTTTTGTGCCCCGCATTTTACTATCTAGGTCTCTTTTTGGCAATCTTTCTGTCTCCATTCTCACTACATAACCAGCCCATCAAACTCTGAAGTGTAACAAATTCTGAAACTATTATATCTTTGAACAGTTTATTTATTTATTTATTAACGGATATACCATTTTTACATTGGAACAACATATAATATATAAAATTTTACAAAGTAAGCACAACATTGAAAATAATTAGTAAAGTTTAACAAAAACTAATAATTAACATGAATACAAACTAATATTACACAAATAGCAGTCTCTTTATCACATTTTTAAATTGTTCTAAGGACTGGAAAAATAAGTCCAGATCACTTTGCTACCTATTATATAGTCTCACCATATGAGAAAGAGGCTTGAAGTATTCATAATTAAATTGATGAAATGGCAGATGAAATAATGAAGTATGTCTAGTTCCATGAAGAGTGTTAAGACCTAATCGATTTAAAAGTTCAGGGCAATTTATCAAATTATTAACAATTTTGTAAAGGAATATTAGGCAAAAATAATCTTTTCGCCGATTCATAGAAACCATTTTTAAGTGATCAGCTATCATACTATAACTGCATGGAACAGAAAGGTCATGAAAAGCACTACGGTAATGATAGTGCTTACCAAATGTATGCTGAACACGATCAAGCTTGTCTATAGAGGTTTGATAGTAAGATCCCCATACAACTATTGCATATTCTAGTCTGGAGCGAATGAGACTATTAAAAAGAATTGGTAAAACAAAACATGAAAATTGAGAAGTGTTTTTAGTTATAAACCCTAATTGTTTAAATGCACTGTTTACTGTGAGCTCTAGATGATTACGAAATGTTAATTTACAATCAAAATAAACACCTAAATCCTTAACACAGTCCTGTCTTGACAGCTGAGTGTTATCAATACTATAATCGTAATTTAAAATTGTTTGCTTTCTGTGAAAAGTAATAACACAACACTTATCAATGTTCAATTTTAATTCATTTAGTTTGCACCAATCGCTAAATCTGCTGAGATCCTCTTGTAACTGAATTTGATCATACTGACAAGTAATGACTTTATAAATTTTTTTATCATCAGCAAAGTTCAGAAATTTTGAATTCTTAATGACTTTTTCAAAGTCGTTAACAAAGAGGACAAAAAATAGAGGACCACAATGTGACCCCTGTGGTACTCCAGAGAGGACATGAACAGATTGAGACAACACACCATTTATCTTAATGCTCTGGGTGTTACCCACAAGAAAACTATCATACCAATTTACTGATTAAATAACGATGATTTACTTTATCGAATGCCTTTGAGAATTCAGTATATATGCTGTCCACCTGGTACTTCCTCGCAAAGGCACCCAATATATCATCTTGGTAAACCAACAAGTTTGACACTGTGCTCCTCCCCCTTTGAAAGCCATGCTGTTGGGGTATTATTATATTATCTGTTAGTTTTGATAAGTGAGAAGTCACTAGTTTGTTGAGAAGTTTTGGGATTGCTGACTGTATACAAATTCCTCGGTATTTTTCAATATCCTCTCTTTTACCTGACTTAAAAATGGGTACAATATAACTGTTCTTCCAGCAAGGAGGGAACTCACCAGTCATAAGAGATAAGTTATAAAGATATTTTAGGGGAATATTAAGAGAGCATAGACAGTGCTTTAATAATACCGGTGGGATTCCATCAGGCCCTGAGGAGAATTTGTTTGGAAGTTTTCTTAATTCATCAAACACTGATATAGTGTCAACTTGAATTAAGTTTACAGGGTAAATGTGTCTGGCACAGTCTTTAAAATCTGGAATGGGAGCACCTTTATCTTTCTCATATACACCAGAGAAGAATTCAGCAAAAAGGTTAGCAATTTCGATATTGCCCTGTGCCCTTCTGTTACCGAAATACATTTCTTGGGGGTAACTCGAAGATTTACAAAGTCTGCCAATGTATCCCCAAAATTCCCTGAGGTTATTACTAAAATTTTTTTCAGAGATGAAAAATGTTGTTTCTGACAAAGTGTATGTTCAACTTTACATTGATCACGCAGATTAGAGAACAATAAGTAGTCCTCGTTTGATTTAGAGAATTTAAACCTCAGATGAGCTTTTTTTCTTTTGAATAATAAGATCTTTAAGTTTTATTGAGAACCAAATTGGGAACTTGTAGGAACACTTGACAGCCTTCATAGGAAGAAAAATATCTAAACACTGATACATACAGCTGTAAAATATTTGACAAGCCTCATTTATATTATTACAATGGTATAATGCATCCCAATTAACTGAAGATAGATAAAGGTTAACAGAATTAAAATTATTAAAGTTTTTAAAATCATAAACATAGTCTTCATAAAAAACCGACTCTTTAAAATAACCAATAGGGATAAAAAAAATTCGTACAGCTTATGCCTGAATGATTCACAAAACAATGGATCGACTGGGGTATACACATTTAGATCAGGAATATGTGAAAAAATGAGATCCAGGAATGTTCCATGCCTGTTTGGTATATTATTGCACTGATGGAGATTTAAAAATGCAAAAGATCCACATACTGTATTCACATGAGATCCTTTCAGATAGAAACGATTCAATCAAAATAAAAATATCATAATCATTTAGTAGCAAAGAGTCCCTTAACTGAGAGAGTTTAGTTCGAAGTCCACCAACATTATGAAAGTAACATTTTAGGCTACTTCTCAGTTTTTTGGCTGGTTAGTAGTTTTTTTTCACTATTGTAGGCTTATTATTAATGAATTTGATTGTATTAGAATTATCACCATTCTTAACCATATCATCTAATTGTAACTTGATTTTCTTGAAATACTCTTGCTGGGCTTTTGTTTGATCCAGGGAAATTCTGACATCAGGCACTTTAATTAATCTTTTATTTTTGACAACAGTTTTAGCATCTTCAGCTGCATTTAATACTACTTTAATGGGTCTCGTTCTGTTAGCAAATTTTCCCAATCTAAATAGTTTAACATTATTTTTGTTAATATTAAAATCAGTCAAAATATTTAGTACCGCGTTTGTCCTCTGCATTACGATCCGATTGATTATTTTTAACAGATTCATTAACATTATATATAATTATATTGGAAGCCCTATTTTGCCTCTCCAGCATTTCGGAAATAATATCCTCCATATCTGGTGCAACAGATGCGACATTTTCCTTATGTAGAATTTTATTTATACTTTCCTTAAGCTCACTCACTTCTTATAACAGAGCTGGTACCTTGTGAAATCCAACTTCGCACTGTTCACAGAAAAACTTTAGTTTCGTTTTCAACTGCATGCATTTAACTTCAGATGCTGTTAGATTACCACATTCCATACAAAGCACAGTTCTGCATCCATCACAAGCAAAAACTTGATTTAAGTCGAATTGGATATTACACCTGTCGCATGTATCCATTTTATTTATTAAAATATAGAACAAATATAGAAAACTTCATGGACTATAATCACAATCTCGGAACCACTTAACCTTATCAGCACATTAAGTTTTTATTGTCACTATTACTTTTATTCATCAACTTTTTGTAGTAAAGAAAGGATTTAACATCAAAGTTATTCAATCAAACAGATAGTTACACTTAAAATTTTCTAGGAATTTAGTTATATACAATTTCAATTTTAACTTATCAAAAAATTGGAATTTTTATGGAGCAGATCAATTTACAGTGTAATTAGAATACAGTTTTTTTCAAGTTTCAAAGTAATTAGAATACAGTTGGTAGAGTTTATGGTTGTACTTGGATCTCCATACTCCGTTTTCATTAATAGGTCCAAATATCTTCGTTAGGACTTTTCTTTTGAAGACCTCCAGCTTTCGGTTTGTATCTTCTGTCATCACCCATGTCTTTCACCCATAACATACTCTTTATGTGATAATAGTTTTGTAGACCCTGATTTTTTATCTCCAGTGTGTGTTTTTGGAGCTGAACACATGGGCAAGTGAAAAGTTAGCTTTGTTCCCCTTTACTATTCTTCTTTGAATTTCTGGTTCTTCTGGTGTGATATCAGTACACTCTAAGTATGATATGAGTACACTACTGATTATTATATTAGATCAATACATTAGCGAAATATGTTCATATAACTTAACTTAATTAGCTTATAGAACATTATTTATGTTTTGATTAAAGTGTTACTAAATAAAAAATGTATAAAAAATATAACTTAACAAAAATATGTGTTGATTGAAAGTCTGTACACTGTTTATACAAAATTCTAGGCTACAAACAGATATCTACTAATACAGTATAAACTTGGCCACAATTCTGGCATTGTGAAAAAGTAAGCAGACAATTTAAAACTTTCTCAATAAGAAATATTTACACTTTATAAATTTCCCTCTATGGGAAATCCTTTATTGTATTGATTACAGTTAATTAAAATATGTACCAGTTTTAGAAATAAAACTAAACCTGTATAGCATTAAAGTAGTTTTAAATAAACATCCATAAATTATTATGGCACTCACCATCTTCCTCCACTGGAGTAATTGGGTTCATGTTGGACAGCTTTAACTCCTGTAAATAACATTGTCTCTCAGCTGTTAGCTTTCTGCATAACTTTTCTAATGCATCCAACTTTTTTTGACTGACATCTAAGTCTAGAGCAGTTTTTTTATGAACTTCCATAAGTGATTCCCATTTGTTGTTGGTTTGTTGCCATCTATTGTGCCATTCATTGCGATCTCTTTCCAAAACATTATTTATTTTATGCATATGTGCCATTTCGTCTTTGAGTGAATCAAATACCTAAAAAAGCCATAAATAGAGCCATAAATATAATAGATATCATCAATAAAAAGTGATTACTCACTTTGTTGCTTCTCTTCATTGTAGTTTCAAAGTCACTATACTGCTTTTGGTATGAGTTTAGATGATCCTGTAAGCTATTGACATTCTCTTGAAGTACCTTATTTGTCTCATCACTTCTTTCTAAATTAATAATCATCATGGCTCTATCTTTTTTCCAAATTTCACGTTCTGCTTCAAACTCACATTCAAGCTTCTTAAGCTGTGTCTCAGAGAGTTTCTTCTGTAGATCCATCTGACGATTCATGTTAGACAAGTGGAGTTCCCTTTCCTGAAATTGTTCGTATAATTCAGCTAGTTTAGAAGTCATATTAATATTTTCATTTCGTAAACGAGAAGATTTGTCCTTATTCTCATCCATAAGTTGTGTAAGGGCATTAAGTTTTTCTGTGAAGTTAGCTGCAACTTCCTTTCTTTTCTCCTCCTCATCCTTCAGTCTGTTGTAGTTTTCCTCCTGTATGGAACAATATAAAAATTAACAAAGATTATTACCATTAAGTATTCATTAAAAATATAGCATATCAAACAATAACATAACATTAAATATGAATGTCAAAAGCAACAAAACTAGCAACAATGGAAGCCAAAAGATTGGATAAAAAAAGCATTGCTATCAGAGATAATATGATAGTATGAGAAAAACTTCCTACATGGATATAATATGCAAATTGCAAATATATTCACAAAAAGTTAAAAATACTGGAATCTAAATTTAATATTAGGTAATAGCAAATTGAAATGAAGGGAAAAAATTATTTGATTCCATTTATATATTAATACACCTTTATTCATAAATATTGTTTCTTACCTTTATATCTCGATTTTGTTTCTGAAGTTCTCTAGCTAAATTTTCTAGTTTAGACCTAGACATTATGTTTTTTGCAAGATCAGCTTCAACATGCTCTTTCTCCCTTTTCAAACATTTTAATTGTTTTTCGCTTGTTTTAATAGTAGAAGAAGCTGCTTTGTAGTCATTATATAGTTCTATGTATTTCTCTTTGATAAAATAAATTCTCTCTGTTACTGGCAGGTTAGTAAGAGATTCAAGCAAATTATCCCATGATCTTTGATCTCTTGATTTTCTCTTTTCATCTCGCCTCTTCTTAATTGCTCCTGTATTTACTGCAGGCACAAATACAGGCAAGTTGGCTGTATTGGGGCAGATATTTTCGGAATAAGGTTTTTCAGATGAATGAAGAGACTTTCCAGAGATAGGGATAGACAGATTTTCAGCATTTTGGCAAACCTGTTTAGAATCTACCTTTTCAGAAGTGCTATTAGGACATATATTCTCACATGAAAGGGGAGCTTTTTCAGAAAGAGGTACTGCCAATTTCTCAGTGGCGTTCTGAGTTAATTGTGGTGTTACTAATGGAGATTGTTCTTGATTTTCACCAGAAACCGGTACCGCCGGTATTTCAGTTTTATTTTGGGGTTCCATAACCTAGAATTTAGATTTAATGTAAACAGAATTTTAAAATAATAAAAGAAACTTACAAATTGCAGATTGAGAGCAGACAGGGGTATAGTTTTCACACTAAGATTTAAAGGTATAATAACCCTTAAAAATTGAATGTTGAATAAAGCTATTTGGTCTTAAAATCGTTTTAAACTTTCTTTTGCTTTATAAACTAGTTAGTTTATATGGTTGTTAAGGATACGATTACAAATTTCAGCATTTTAGTTTTTATTAGATTATTTTTCATTGATAAACTATTCATACTTCTTGGTATGAACTGTATACTAATTAATAAAAATATATATTCAATTTGTTTTTAAAAATCCTATCTCCCTCAAATTAAGCTCTAAATGAAATGTTACTTGTCTTGTCTTGTCACTTGTCTATTCTATATCTTAAGATACTGAGCCTTTTGCCTTTATTATGGTCACAATGTATGTACTATGATTATGGTCAAACCACAGGTCAAACGGTCAAACCATGGCAAACACAAGCACAGTATCTTGACAATTCTTATTACGTCTACGTCTGACACTGACAAATATCCTAAAAGTTCGTAAAAAGTATGATGTCGGTTAATAAGATAAAATGGGATTATTTCATATTTCTATATTACTAAATAAATTCATTTACGTGCGTGTAGAGTATGATTTGTAAACACGATCATTAAAAGTTCTTCATAATAATTTAAATAGGTACTTGTTCAACATGTCTCTTAAATCAAAATAAATATGTAATGAACTTATGTTGGATTATATATAAGAATATCTAGAGCAACGAGATGGATAAATCCTTAAACTATAATCCGCAAATTAATATCTGTGTTATAATTAATATTACAAATAAATACTACACCTAAAATGAAGCAACACTACATACAAGTAATCTATAAAAATTAGTTTGACTTGTAATAAATGCATGCTTATAAAGTTTTTAATTCATGAAGTTACTGATTTATTTCGACGGCAGAAAATAAATTTGTCAAAAATGAAATAAAAGTTTTTTGTAGATTATAAGTACCTACACAAATTGGTTTAAAGAAAACAATTGTAGATATATAATAATAGGTCCATGAGCATGTTTCACAACTTCAAAAAATAAAACTAGATTTGGGCCACTCATATACTCGAAATAAATTCGAATTTATTATAAATAAAATAAATTATGTTGAGGTTATGTGAAAACTATTTAATGAATTAAGCACATGGGTGGTCTTTGATCACTTTTATTTATAAGAAACCAAAAGTGTTTTTTATATATGCTTACCTTTTTTTATTATTAGTTCACTGTCTAAACTGTATGGTACATATCTTAAGTATGCTTTGGATATATAATCATGTTCAAAATGTCATTGATGTAGCCTACATTTTCATATTATAAAAAGATCTATTTTCAGAACCTAATTTTATTCCCATCTATGTTTAGATTGCATGGAACCAAAATGTAACGCAATTTCAAACGCTTTCCCGCCATCGTACAAATAAAGGCTGGTTTCTGTTAAATAAAAACAAATAAGAGGATCCATTAATTCAAATCCATTTATTAATACTATGTACACTAGGAACTATTAAGAAAATGGCGGTCCTAGGAGCAGTTTTAGTAATTGTGATGACATTTTTGAATAAATTATTCCTTCAGTTAGAGGGGGGGGGGGGTAATCGTAGCCGAGGGCTGCTATTACCTCAAATAAGAATAAATTCAGTTAACATGTCGCAACTTAATGTTTTCTTCCTTTCCCCCTTGATGACCCAACAACCCAACCACAGTTCCAGATTTGTTCCAAATTCTCCACATATTATATATTCATTTGTTTCTCTATACTCTTTAGTTTTAATATTAAAATCTTCCTCATAATAATCTACTTTTTTTTATGTTCAAACGGACAGGCTTCTTGAGAAGCTAAAAGACGTAAACACTTGTCTCTTAACTATTTTGATCTTCCGTTCCAGGGGAAGTATGGAGAGCATTAGGTCAACAGAAACAAGTTGGCTAACAGGTTTATTTAATCTAATTATGGAAGTTGGGCAAATGTCAGACGAATGGAGAAGTAGTCTTGTTTACAAAAGCAAGAGAGATATACAACAATGTACAGACTACAGTGCCATAAACCTAGAAGGGTACGTGAAGAAACCGAAATATCCGATAATTAGTTTGGCTTTATGCAAGACAGATCAACAACAGATGCAATTTTCATTATAAGGCAGGTGATGGAAAAATATAGAAATAAAGAAACAAACACTCATATGGTATTCATTGATCTTAAGAAAGCATATGATAGAGTTCCTCAATAGGGTATGCGGTAATAGAAAGGATAATTAGTTCGATTTAAAGTTTAGAAACAACTTCTAAAGTGGTCAGGGAATACATTGTATATAACTGGATTATCTTGATTAGATGATACCGCAGAGGCACAAAAAAGACTTGAATATTGTCTTCTAAACGTGAGTATCCATAAGAACGTCCATAATACGTCCGGTGGATTTACTTGACGGACATTTGTGATGTCAACACCATTGTATAAAGTACTAAAAGTGGCGTCATCTTGTCCATATTAAGAATGTATTTTGTAAAATAAAACGTAAATGTTTAAAGAAATTTACATTTATTATCACATATTACATTTATTTATTAATAACAAACGGGACAAATCCTATACAAAAAAGCAACATTATAGAAATGTAAAATAATTTTGAGTAATAAAACATAAATGTTTTAATACTGTTCTGAATCTATTTTCTTGTGGCATTTTAAATTAATTACTATTTAACTGGGAATAAGCCACAATTAAAGATAAAAATAAGTTTATTGACGTTTCAATTTCCACTTCGAAAATCGTTCTCAAAATACAAACAGTAAATTAAACAAATTTTGTTTTTTTGTTACATAGTGAAAAATTCTTCTAATAATTTAATTTTATCTGTCTCATTTATATTGACAATTCAGACATACATTATGCATTTTAAAGTAGACGACTTTAAAATGATATTGCCAATATTGTTGAGTTGCGCTCCTGGGACGACTTTACTTATACGATAGTTCATTCGATTACATGAAATCAACTTTAACTTGAGAATATCCGTCAGAAAAAAATCATAGCATGTAATTCGTCTTTAAAAAGACAAACACATGACATGATGACAGTAAAATTCTCCTGTTAGTGATTCCATAGTAAATTATGAGGGAAAAACCAGGAAAAAACCTCATAATACTATCCCGACATGGTAAGTATTTGTTCGTGCATTTAGTTTACCTTCAATAAACACCAAAATTCTGATTTTATATGTTTCGTTATTTAAAAAAACAAAAATGATGTATCCTCTATATGTTACTGACTTACTAATACTGTATTTTCTTATTAATAACTTCCTCTTTCAATATTGGTAACCAGATCCTACATCATTCTGCCGAGGAATTTGCGACACAATTGGCCTCATTTAGCATAATTAGAGCCGCTTCTTTGATTTTTCTTTTTTTACCATCCGTTTCTTTTAGGATCACATTTGAATTATTTCATTGAACCCTATGTTCATTATCCCATGCGTGTTTACATATTTGAGATCTATCAAATTCTATATTTCTAATATAAGATTGATGTTCACGTATTCTAACATTTAATGGCCTTGATGTTTCAAGTAAATAAAACTGATCGTATTCATAATGTATTTTATAAATGCAATTCTTTGTCCTTTCTTGTTCATTGTTAGGTTTGGTTTTGGACAAAATAGATCTCAACGTGTTTGTTGTTTTGAATGTTGTTGATATGTTGAATTTATTTCCTATCCTTTTAAGTTTTTCTGATAATCCTTTTATGTACGGTATTGTTATTTTCCTCTACAAATAGTTTCTTATGACTTTTGATGTAAAATAATTAGGAAAGCAGGAATTCAACAATTTAGAATTTCGCATTGAATTTCCTATGGCTTATATTTATTATTTATAATATTTTTTAAATAACGTCTGAACCTATACACATGAACGAAAAAATTATATGGAAGAATTTGATGAATTTTTATGCAAACGGTTTCGTCTACATAAAAATTTGTTACTCTGAGGCAATTTATACAATTATACAAGAGGGGAGCTGGGCCCTGTTTTTCGTCATATAAATCTTTGGTAGGTATATTGTTATGATAAAATGTTATGATAAATATGTCTCATAAACATTCTTTCTAATTCTTATATGTTCTATATAAGAATTCCTTCGATGGAAGGTTATCGAATCTTCGCCGTGATTCCAGAATAACGGCAGTTTATATTTAAATAGAAATTTTATGTAAAAAGTTGGTCAGTCGAAAATAAATTGTTGTATTGCATAAGTTGTATAATAAATTAATATAAATTATTGTGTTTTAGTGAATTAGACTAAGGGAAATAAAGTAAATAAATTAGACTTATAAAAACAGTTCAAGTGGTGTCAGAAATGGGATTGTGAAAATAACTACGATTTATGAGCTCACAGTTACGAATTTAAGAAGACATCTGGAGGACAGAGAATTAGCTTCTACCGGAAAAAAAGGCTCATTTAGTCCAACGACTAAAGAACGCTTTAAAAGAAGAGGGTTTGGATCCGGAAACTTATATATTTGAAGATGCTGTCATCTCGTCGATTTCGAAATTAAAGAACAAAGTTTCTGGCGATATTTTGAAAGTTTCCGGGGACATCGCATCATTAGAGAACAAAGTTTCTGGCAATATTTCGAAAGTTTCTGGTGACATCGCATCATTAATAAACAAAGTTTCTGACGATATTTCGAAAGTTTCTTTTGACGTAGCCAAAGTTTCTGGTGATGTGGCCAAAGTTTCTTGGAACATCGCATCATTTAAAGACAAAGTTTAAAACGAGATTTCTTCTCTGGAAAGCAAAGTTTTTGCTAACATCTCTTTGGAAATCTCTAAAGTCACTTCTGAGATGTCTGCCCTCGACGATAGAGTGTCTTCGTTAAAAAACCAAGTTGCTGCCGATATGTTGGCCTTCGAAGAAAAGATATGGAAAGAGATGGAAAGGTAGATTGAGGGAACAGGGACAGCAGAGAGAGGAAACGATCCAATTACAGTAGAGACAAAAGAAAAGAGACGAAATGTAAGTTGGAAACACGGCCGAAATTTGAAGGAAGTGGAGGTTTTGTTCATGTCAAAGTTCCAACTTTCGACGGAAAATCGTCATGGAACAACTACATGAAACAGTTCGAATCAGCTGCAAAAGCGAATAGATGGTCTGAAAAAGAAAAGGCTGTAAACTTGACTATCGCTCTTCGAGGAGATACCTTAGATGTGCTTAAGACCATAGCCGTAGAGGAGACGGATGATTTCGAACAACTCAAGAAGAGGTTAAATATCCGATATGGCCACGAACA